GGGTTCACTACCCCGCGTAAAACGCATCAGGGTTTATTGTGATCACACATTCACAAGCACCAATTTTCATCTGAACCCCGCGTTAAACGCATCAGGGCATTTTAGGTGATCACAATGCACATGTCACTCGAGCACACTTGTAAATGCACATGCCGTGCCAATGCTCGTGATGCAAACTCATGGCCATAAACTTCACACTCGGGCATTGACGATTTCACAATGGACATTCAATAGCACAACGCCAATTAATTAGTTCACAGTGCACCATGTCCAATCAACATTTCAATATGCCCAACCCACATATTAGCACGACCATGAAATTCAATTCAAGCACTCATGCACGGTACACAATTCACGCGTATAAATCACACAATCAGTTCAGCATGAATCCACAGAAATTGAGGCCCATCACATTACTCCCTTCCTGATAGCATTAGGCACATGTCATGGCACTACAAAATCACTCGCATTTAGGGACAATTCAACCACTAGTTCGGTCAATCCATCATTTCCGGCACTTACACTCCAAACCTCAATTCAATCGCGCCTTGTCCGACTAATTTCCAAAGTGGACAGCCACTAAATCAATTGCGCCGGGCCATTTAATGACCTCAAAATGTTCCACTAGACTCCCCAAGACACCATTTTAATCAGCCACCACAATGCCAAATAAGGTGCGCACTAGAATCCACATTTTAAACCCGAAACTTCCCAAACTTGGGCTAATCCGATCCAAATCTGTCCAGCCAATGCTCGGCGCTTCTCAGGCTACTAAACCTCCATTTATTTATCGCACTAAGCCCGTAGAACAGCCACCAAAACAGCCACCACCCGGTCTATCAATTTCATCCACTAAGTTCGCCATTTTGTCTAAATCTCGGCACCCATGCTTCGCCACATCACAGCACTATACGGGCCGCTAAACCTCGACTAAATAATCATCATTGGTCACCAAAAACACCACAGAACCAGCCCATATCACCCTCCATCATTTAGCCCCTAATTACCCTAATTAACCCTTAAAATCCGTCTAGAAATACAAATTGTCCTAATTAGGGCTTAGGGTCAAACTCACAGGATGTCCTAAGCTTGAAACGGGCCGAACACGCGACGAAAAGGGGCTGGGCAGCGGCAGTCCCTCGCCGGAACAGTAACGGCGGTGGCGGCTCCGGCGAACGGTCTAAGCTAATCCACGACCTAGAGAGGAAGAGAGAGAGTGGGGGCTTCTGTGGTGGCGGCGACAGGGTGGCGGCAACGGTCGGGCGGCACGCGGTGGCGACGAGCGGCAGCTGGCGACGAGCGGGACGGCGTCGGGCGGAGCGGAGTCCAGACGCGGCTCGTCGGGGAGGAAGAAGACCGAAGCAGAAAAAAAGAAAGGAAGAAGAAAGAGAAGAAGAAGGAAGAAGAAGAGAGAGAGGAGAAAGGGTGTCAGAGGAGGAGGGGGGAGAATGGGCGTGAGTGGACTTCTGCATGGGGGGGGGGGGGGTTGCGTGCGGTCAGAGAGGAGAGAAGAGAGAGAGGGAGAGAAGGAGGAAAGGACAGACGTGACGATGGGGGAGAGAAGGGTGCGTGCGGGCAGAGGAGAGATAGAAGAGAGAAAGAAAGAAAAAAGAAAAAGAGAGAGAGAGTAGGACGGACGCGCGGCCAAGGGGGGTGTCTTCGGCGCGAGAGAGAACAAAAGAAACAAAATAATTTTTATTCAAATATTAATCGCGATCCGAAGGCCCAATCTCAAAATCGAAAACGATCTGCCGGTCTCAAATAAGCCTCGAATATAAAAAGGGACAAAGGCCAAATTAATTAAATCAAACTATAGCGAGGGAGGTCTACTAGTCCAAATTTGCACCCGATCAAAAACTCCCTTTTTTCCATTATTCCTGACAATCTCAACGTTGGCCCCGACCATATCGACACCGTCCAATTTATTTCGTCCCGAAAATCGACGGCCAAGTTCGAGGTCTAAATAACGGTCAAATTTGATCGAGTGCGATTTTAGCGAAATCTCTAATTTAAAATGATAACCGGGAGTGATCAGTTCCCGGGCGAGATTTTACTATAAGCACACTGACAAATTACGCGTTTTATAAATCCCAAAAATGGGCCGAAATTCGGGATGTCACAGAGAGAGAGAGAGAGAGAGAGAGAGTGCATACTAACCGGGTGAAGAAGGGAGATCGCATCAGAAGCTTGTGATGAAAGGTGACGATACAGAGACTGAATCCTCCTCTGAGCTCTGCTTTCCATAGCATCCCTCCATCGCTTTGTTGCTTAGAACTCAGTACTCACTATTTCTGGCTTGTTTTATGTGAAGAAAGACAAGCAGAGATAGAGACGAAGAGTGTGGGGGTGACCCTTGACGTTAAAAATGTGGCAGTTTTATTATTAATAACTAAAATTGTAATAGAGATCATATACATTCAAATTTATATAATTAAATAGAATAGTAACATTGAACTTATCTTCTCAGATACAACATAAGATCGGTGAAAGGTAAATAAGATGCAGAACAAAGCTGCAATTGACCTGTGCAAGTGGCCATGACCCAGAATAGCTTACACTCAGGTAGTGGGATTCAACAGGTGAACTCTAGTTCCTGTATTGAAAATCCCTCAACGTCCTAACCAACAATGATTATCCTCTTTTAAGAAGCTAATTGCTCGGACATGAAAGTCAAGAGAGAATGATCAAGGAGGGCTAGTTTCTTTCTGCCTCCGTGTTCTCTGAAAAATATAAATGGCGCATCACATTTTTATAATACTTGTTGAGATTAATTGGTCTATTGAAAATAATGGATGTAATGATCTTTTTGAGCCTTTGTAATTCACATTTAGATGACGCAGCTTTCTTTTTTGCTCACATATGATCCCAGCCATTTCACATTGATTTCATCTCTCACTTCATCCAGGATTACTAGGATGAGATTAATTACAACTATGACTCTGTGTTCTAATTATACATGTAGTAGTCTATCAAGAGAATAATCAAAAAGCAGCAAAAGGGGCGAAAAATCTCCTTGACCGAACATAAAGAAAAAAGATTATTCTGTGTGGCAACATTGAAGCTGCTGCCCGGACATATGGCATTGAACATCATCTTTTTAATCACTCAAACGTATAGTTAACTTTTCAAAAGAACATAGTTTTCCGATGACACGTGATTTTGCTCACGTGTTTTTCCATTTTTACATGATTTTACTCTCTCTCTCTCTCTCCCCTAATCAAATCATTTTTTCTCCATGTGAAATGTCTAGCATTTGTCCCTTTTTATCAACGACTCACTTGATGGTCTAAAATTCAGTGTCTTCAGTGGGCAGAGCACCACCACACCAGACGATCCACCATCGCGCGCAACCACACGCATCATCAACACCCTATCAATCCGCCGCCACTGCTCGGCAGGATTTATTCCGGCAAGCATCGGAAAACTAAAGTGGTAATACGCATTATATCTAGGCTTTTATCATTTGATAAATACGGAAGTATCATAATGTCTATCTGATCAAGTAATTTGCATTACAAATTTATGTACAAATGTGACACGGAACGGCTTGTACGGCCTGCATATCAACGGGTTGTCTCTAAACCTAGCTTCCTGGTATCTTCTCAAGAATAGGAAATATCGTTGAATTTGTACGGCCTACATATCAACGGGTTGTCTCTAAACCTAGCTTCCTGGTATCTTCTCAAGAATAGGAAATATCGTTGAATTTGAAAATCTATAAAAATCACATGAGAGGTGCTGTCTTGCCTCTCTCTCTCTCTCTCTCTCTCTCTCTCTCTCTCTCTCTCTCTCTCTCTCTCTCTCTCTCTCTCTCTCTCTCTCTCTCTCTCTCTCTCTCTCTCTCTCTCTCTCTCTCTCTCTCTCTCTCTCTCTCTCTCTCTCTCTCTCTCTCTGCAAAAAGCAGCTCATTTAGGTAAGCAAAAATCCAATTTATATTCAATGGTGCAAAAAGAGTTAGCTATCTTGCTTGTTGGATAGTATTCCTGTTATGATTTTAGATCTTGTACAGATTGTGGTATCTTAACTTTCTGTTGATTATCATGCAGGCCAGGTATATGAGAAGGCCCTCATGAATTTTAAAAAATTCATGACCACACTTGATTATCACATTCACCCTAACTCAGAACTCCCTTGTTGCGGTTGAAAATGTATTTATTAGCCCATTTCGATAGGATGACTCTCGGAGAAACCCTAGAAATGATTTCTTTTGGGGCATCTTCATGATCTAAGCACTAGAAAATCACCTAATACATAGGCAAGAGACGGACCCTCATGCTCGGCTGCCCTTTGTTATGTGTTACCCGACGATAATTAACATTTATATTAAACATCGTATAGATTTCATTCGATTCGTTTTTCCATCTGAGTTTACGTTTTAGCCAGCTTGATTACCGGTGTTTGGTGGTCGGTGGATGTGCATATCAGTTTGCGAAGTGAGAATTGAATTGTTCTTAGGGTTATATCAACATTCCAAATGGTAATTTTGTGAGAAATGGCTGTCTTTTTAATTACATGATGATAATAACTTTTGGGATTTTTTGTATGACATTTTCCTCAATTATGAAGATTAGTTTCACCGTGTTTTAGCAGTCATGTCTTGTGTGAAAAGTTCCCACCTTTCTGTTAAAGTGCTATCCAATCCAAAAAATTGTATAGAAAAATATATTTTTCCATATTTATAATAGGAAAAAGAAAAGGTGTACTAGATTTTTAAGTCGTTTTATATTTTTTATTGTTTGGATTTCTCAATCGATGAACTCTTTTTCTCATTCAACGTCGAAAAATTCGTTATAATTTTTCCCTATTTCTGAAAACGATCAAGATAAAACTTTTAATTTTTTCGCGGACCCTTTTTTTATTACCGCTAAGTAATTGCTCCTAAACAAAAAAAAATGTGAGTTTCACGTCGTTTTAGCTACTTAAGTATAGGACATGGATATTGGTAATCTTATTACTCAAGTCATATACTGAAAGTATGTGCTTTTTGCTTATTGAACCAATGGAGCAACCCCAGAATCAAATCATACTCGTATGACATTTTCTTGCATTAAATGTGTCTCTTATTAATGTGAGAATGGAGTGAATCTCATCAAAATTATCTAATTATTGTCCTCAACAGCACATGTGACACGTAAATCATGCATTGTGATTGGTTATGTTCATCAACCTAGATAGACTCGGTTCTCGAATTAGAGTTTCATGTTCTGGTTTTGAGTCTGGATATGACTGCTTGTTTTGGGCCTGTACTGGTTATTTCCTTCCTATTCTATTTAACACGGTCTCGTATCATCGCTTTTGTAATAGTTTGACTTTTGGGACATGCGACGGCCATCTTCTAACATAATTCGGAATTCTTGCCCATGCTCTTCCTTTCAATTTCCTTTTTGCATGCTCTGAAATTCTCTACAGTGCCACAAACTTCTGTGACTGCTTCATTTTTTTTCCTTTTCTGACCCTCTCTTTTCTTAACCTCATGATCTCACCTGAAGGTCGATGGCAAACTCCAACACCAGAAGAAGCCCTCTAGCGGTTCCCTCAATATCAGACGCCAATTACATACCCAAAGTCCAGTACCCAAACGAACTCATCAGCTCGTATGGAGCAGCGTGCGAGTCCGACCCGGATTTGCAAACCTTCAACGCAAACCTCCAACCGAGGACGAACCAAGTCCTCAGCACTCTTGATTCCGGGGCTGATGTCCAAGCTCTCTCACTGGATTCTCTGAAAGAGATAAACGAGTGCCTCTTGGAGATGAACCAGGATGTAGTCAAAGTCATCTTGGATAGCAAGAAAGACTTCTGGAGAAATCAAGAGCTGTTCGAGCTTGTTGAGGACTACTTCAAAGATAGCTTGCACACCCTCGATTTCTGTGCTGCCCTCGAGAATTGCTTGAAGCAAGCGCGCGATGCCCATTTGCAGATTATCGCTGCACTTCATTGCTCCGAAGAAGAAGATGGGGAGGGGTGTTGCAGGTGCATGTATCTCAGTTCTCGAGGAACTTCATTTCGAGCACACGTATCTTAGTATATTGGTTCTTGCTAGCCACTATTTTCATTTATTGGCTAAGTCATTCAATCTCCCCTATTTTCTCTATGCATTTGCATTCAACTTCATATCCTAACATGCCAATGGGAAAGAGTTGATTTCTAGAATTTGATATCCTAACAATATAAGGTTAAGTTGGTAAGGAATATGCATGCTTTTTCTGTTTCACGAGAAACTGATGCAGAGACCTTGGATAAATTTAGTTACTCAAAGATCTTGGAGGAACTGACAAAATTTAAGGAGACCGGATACCCTTTCCCCAAGGAGTTCTTCGAGATCTTTCAGACGATTCACAAGCAACAGAAGTCCGTGCTCAAAAAGTTGTGGATCAAGAAGAAAAAGATTGAGAAGAAGCTCAAGAGCATACAGACGTGGAAGAAAATCTCAACCATGATACTGGTTGCAATTTTCGCAGCCATTCTGATCTGGTCAGTCATGACTCCAGCTGTGGCTGCTACACCAGTCACTGCCGCCCTAGCGGCTGCAACTGCCATTCCCATGGATGCCATTGGCAAGTGGATTGACTCCATTTGGAAGAATTATGAAAATGAACTGAAGGGATGGGAGGAGGTGATCACCTCAATGCAAGTGAGTACTACAAACCTTTTTCCTCCCTTTCTGTAATTACAGTGACGATCCCTGTAATTTCGTCAAACCAAGTCAACATCCATACTTTTCCCTCGAAGTCCTTGCAATTAACATAATGAACATCGTGAGGCTGGCTTGATTTTTATGTAGCTATAATGATGCGAACAATGTCTAGGAGTCCAAAATGTAAGAAACTCTGCAAGAGAAGTCATCGTGATTTACATGAATAATTTCTTACAACTAAAAGCTCGTTGCTCTCGAGCTCCTTAACAAAATCAGAAGCATGATTGACCCTTTGGAGGTACAGACCAGGAGGCTTTTGCAGAAGGCTGATTTTCCAATTGAGGAGGGAGCAGAAGCAGTAAAGCTCGGAATAGCAGACATCAAGAAAAAGCTGAGAGATTTCATGAAGGGGGTTGAAGGACTAAGGAAAACATGCTGACATGTGCAGCCGCAATATCCAGAAATCGAGGATAGAGGTGCTCCAGAGGATTATAAAGCCCCCCACCAATTGCAACGGTGCCCCTATTTTGCTATAGAGAATTGGTGCTAAGTGTTTGTCTTCCTGTGAGGGATGTGCAGTGGACCTCCATTTGCATTGCCTTCTCTCATCACTAAAGCGGAAGACATCAACATTTGGCATTCGATTTATTGAATAATCATAATTAAATGCAGCTTTTGGACAGGAACTCTTCTATTCCTATTTGAATAAGCCCTTGTTTTAGTTTCTCTTATGTATAGTTCCATGTGGTGATTAAACAAGTCCAGATGACTGACATAAAACTGACCTGTTACATGGAAATGGTAAGGTTCAGGTTCTTCCCAAAAGCAGAAGTTAGTAGCTAGGACAGAATGGTTAAATTTTCGTTGAATTGTGTTTAGAGCTCATTATGCTCGTGAGAAATGTCTGTCCCAGTCTGATGAAAGCTGCATAATCCAAATGAAAGACCAGACAGCAGTAGCTCAGCAAAACAAAAATATCTATAGGAAGAAAACGTATCCTGCCTATGTTCCTCATTCGTAAAAGAATACTCCTCAATAAAACTATTTGGTAAATCCAGACATCTAAGGACAAATTTCATGTTGACAAGAATTAATGGAGGAAGAAATTGCAGATGCTGAATTATTCCTGATCAATGCTTGGCAAAATAAACGGAGCAATTGCCTCTAATGCAAATTTATTAAGGTGAGAATACGTTCCACGTTGCTTTCCAAGCAACAAAAAATATACACATAAATAGTCGGTGCTTCCAACTCTCCAAGGAAACACCTCTCTGGCTTCATCAATTTTCTATACTAACAAACTGCAATGTAATTTTACAGAAGAAGTTCCTTGTTTACCAATATTCCAACGCGAAGAATCAGCAAAATTGAGAGAAATCTTTGAATTATGCAGCAAATCAGAAAACACTTACAAAAGTTTCGAGTTCCAGGCCATGGGCTTGTCTCGAAAAATCAACTTCCTAAGTGATTCTCCCATCAATGGACCGACACCATTCAAACACAAGGGGCCTCCTCGTTCCTGGGAACTGTAAAAGGTCCAGGAAATGATCTCTGAGAGGCGTATACCTACATCAAGTGTAAGCGTGTCCATTTTCGCTTTCCCACTTTTGGAGATGTAAAAAGAAAAACACACTTCACTTGTCTCTAAGCTGCCTCTGAGACACTGATACCATGAGTTGCTCTTCTATTTCTAGGAATTCAACCAATTTCTCCAAAGCAACTTTTTATTTGTTGCAAATACAAATGTCTTCTTCCGTGGGAACTTTTTGAATTCTATCCCCAACTTAAGAAATTTCAGGGGATAAGTCCAAATGTAGTCTTTGTTTAATTATTTTACTTGTTTGTTCGCATGCGCTGTGCACAATCGATTCGAGAGATAGGTTTGGACTATTTTTAATAGAGAATGTGGATATAAATTTCAAAGATGTGAATATGTGCTCATAATAATCGGAGATTTGTTAGGTAACCGCGTGGAGATTTTGAAATTTAGTCATTAGTATTGTATAACGTTTTACTTATTCTATATTGAAATGAGATAGAGTTGTTTTGGTCTTATGAAAATGGACATCAAATTTGAAAGTTAGCTTCAATAAAATGTACATATTGGCCTAATCTAAAAACAAAAAATCACGAAATTATACCGGTGAACAAAAATGAGCCCACTTTATATTTGTCACAAGACAAAAGCGGGTACCCTTTCGCGATGGACTGAGATGGCCACCGTCAATTTTTCCTCATCCTAGTGATAGCCGAGGTGGCAAACAGTGTTGACGTGGTGTGCTGACATGGCATTTTTTATTATTAAATTTTAAAAATCAATATTAAGGGTTCTAAAATCAAAAGAAAATATCATCTGTTCAAGAATAAGGGGAAAAGAAGGCCGGCATTGGTCGCCAATGCCAGCGTCGAGTTTGGCGTTGACCACAGCAAAAAGCGAGTGCACTTGGAGCCCTTATGGACTCTAGTGGCCGGCACCGTCGTTGGTAGTCTGCAGAGCCGATGGCTCAAGTCGGGAAGGGATATGAAATTAGGGGAGAGACGTGGCGGTGGAGGAGGGAGGTTGAGTTAGAACTCTAAGTTCAGAGTGGCGGAGGAGGAGGTGACCCCACGATAGTGGCGGAGGAGGTGTACTAGGGTTGGACGCAAGAGACGAATCGTGAGGAGGTTCCGACAAAGCAACTTCTATTTGATTGTAGGAACCCTTTTGCGACAGCCATAAGAGCAGATTGTAAGATAATCAATGGTTTATAATCAATATTTAAAATCTAGATTTCTAAAATTTGGATTGAAATCACATACCTGGTTTAACTAATCTCAGTCTATGCACCAATCAATACAGAGGAATCCACACGAATCCGCGACTAGGTCTTCCTCTCTTATAGGATCTCGATAGATGAACCTAAAATGCTTTAGAAAGAGGATGGGAGACAAGATCATAGCCTATTTTAGTGTGCACTTTAACGGATGGCTATTGTTAGAATACCGGCGTACACCGACCGTCAAATCATATTGTTGTTGTTCCGAATATGTGTTGTGCCCAACATAATATGATCACATAACCGCATTATGGCTATCTAGCAATTTCTCATTTATTTCATTATAATATGTTTGTCACAAACAAAAGTGTTCTACGGTTAACTTTAGCCCATGACCTAACCTCAAATTTTGCTCCAATTTTCTGAAATTCATTAGGTTTGACTTAGAATTGATCAAGAGTTGACTAAACGTTGACCGGACAGATACAAGGCTGGAAACTTAATTTAAACCTAAAAAACAAGTTCTACTCACCAAAATGAATCTTTTGAATCCATATTGCCATCCAAATTCGGCAATTAATTTTTCACTTTTCAGGATTGGTCGATGTTTTTCGCAATGTTCGAAAATGTGTTATTTCTTGACTTTGCTTGCAAATTTGACACTAGGGATCGCAACATCCCAACACAACAAAAATCAGGTCGAACGGATGTCTGATGAAGAAGTAATCATTGGTCAAACTTTTTGATACCCAAAATAAGGGTCCCAAAGAACAAAACAGTACCTAGAATTCTTCTAATCAAAAGAAACTTTCAAACCTCTAAGTTATGGTATAAATAAGTCACCAAAAAGACACCAGGTTAGACGGGAAAAATCTCAGGTATGTGATTTCACGATCTTACCTAAAAATATTGGGCTTGTTGGAAAGCTTTCGATATGAGCATTCAAATGTCACAAAATCACACAAATCGAATGTTGGACGGAGGAATTACAAGCCCATAAAGAGCAAGCCTCAACTCGAAGTAAGCATGGCTCAAGACGAGGCATCGTGCCTTCTCTTGAGGCGGCCACCTCGACCTATAAATATCCCCAATTTTCATTTTTCAGTTGGTGAATCTATTACTTGCCCTTTTGCTCTTGAAATTCTCTTAAGTTGAGTTAGGTGCTCACATTTCTTTTGTTTTCAAGTTTTTTTTCTATCTATATAGTTACCAAAATTCTCGTGCTTTCAACATAAGTCCCAACTCCCTTGTTTTCAAATGTATAGAAAAGATGTGTTGCAGAGCAACATCAAAAGATGCATAAACCGAAGCACAAATAACAAAAGAATGAAAGCAAAATCAAAACCACACAAGACGCAAAATATACTTGAAAACTCAAGACGGGAAAAATCACATGGAGAGAGAGTGGGGTTTCTTTATCTTTGGCAACGAGTACAAGAGTACAATCTAAAAAATAAAAAAACTACTTGGTGAGCCACAAAATTTGAAGATCTAATAAGAAAAAAGGAAGAACAAAGAAGGGAGAGAACGTGGAAAGTAGAGTTAGAGATGTGTTGTGTAACAAATCACTTTTATAGTCCCCCTTCAAAAACCCCGAAAACAAATGTGCATGGTCCAAAATGCCCTTGTTACTAATTTGAAAATCAAAACTCAATAAATCTCCATATTGACTTCAAATCTCCATAAGAGAGTTGTGCCAATTGCCATGAGACCTCTCGCTCTCACCATCAAGAGTGACCACACAAAGCCATCCCTCAAAACCGGCAGAATTGACCAGGCATGCCCCTAAGCCTACGTGAGCGCACTCTATGGATGAAACAAGGGATGAAATGCCACCAACTCCTCCAAGGTAACTAAAATTGTGAAAATGCCAATGAAGTCTAAACAATGCTTGAACTTGGTCAAAGGAACTAGTTTGGTCAACATATTTGCCAAATTATTTGCCATAGGTGCTTTCTTCACCGTAACCATACCCTTAGTAACCTCATCATGCACAAAGTGATACCGGATGTCGATATGTTTTGTTCTCTCATGATACATTGGGTTCTTGGTCAATTGGATTGCACTTTGGTTATCGCAAAAGATAACAAAGGCTCCCTCCTATTTCATCTCAAGCTCTGTAACCAAATGCTTCATCCAAAGAGCTTCATTTGCCGCTTCCATGTACTCTGTTTTGGTGGTAGACAAAGCAACCGTGTCTTGCAAGATTGCTTTCTAACTAACCACAGAACCACCAAGCGTAAAAACATAACCTGTCAAAGATCTCCTTTTGTCGAGATCGCCTGCATATTCAGAATCAATGAAGTCAACAACCAAATGTCCTATAACAAACCTACATGTGAGGTACCTTGAATGTACCGAAGAATCCATTCACGGCTTGCTAGTAAGCTTTACCTGGATGTGCCATATATCTGCTCAGAATACTAACTGCCTGGGAAATGTTTGGACGAGTGCAAAGCATAGCATACATAAGACTACCTACAGCACTAGAATATGGGACTCGAGACATCTCATTTTCCTCTTCTTTGGTTTTAGGCGACAAAGACACCAAAAGCCTAAAATGGGATGCCAAAGGAGTACTTAGCAGTTTGGCATTCTTCATGCCAAAATGCTCAAGCACTCTCTCAGTATACATATTCTACGAATAGCAAAACCTTGCCAAATGGTCTGTCTCTGTGAATCTCCATACCTAGAATCTTTTTGACAACTCTAAGATCCTTCATCTCAAACTCCCTGCTGCCTCTTCAACCATTGTAACTCTAACATGTTCTTCGTTGTAAGAAGCATGTCGTCCACATACAACAACAACAAATAAACAAAAAAAAAGACCATCATGTAATCTCTTATAGTATACACAGATGTCATGCACACTTCGCAAGTGGCTATGACTCAATATAAACCTATCAAACCTCTTGCACCATTGCCGTGGAGATTGCTTGAAACCATACAAAGAGTATTTCAACCTGCAAACATGATCTTCTTTACCCTTAACAACGAATCCATCGGGTTGGGACATATAGATTGTCTCCTCAAACTCGCCATGTAGAAAAGCGGTCTTGACATCAAGTTGCTCAAGTTTTAGATTATAAAATGCCACTTACGCGAGCAATACATAAATGGAATTATGTCTCACAACTGAAGCGAACATTTCATTTCATTGATCCCCTCCTTTTGACTAAAACCCTTAGCTACCAAACGTGCCCCGAATCTTTCATTATCAACCCCTAGGATTCCCTCATTTCTTTTGAAAACCCAATTTCATTTAATAGCTCTTTGCCCTTAGGCAATTTCACAAACTTCCAAGTTTAGTTCTTACGAAGAGACTCCATCTCTTCATTCATTGCAACAAGCCACTTCTCAGATTAAGAACAAATGATAGCTTCACGGAATTTAAAGGTTCTTCAACACCAACCTCTTCAGCAACTGTAAGAGTATACGCTACCAAATCAGCGAAGCCATATCTCTGGCGAGGCTTAATTTGCCATTTAGCCCTACCTGCAGCCAAGGTATAAGGTTGTTCAACTTCTTCTACATCATCCTTGATCGAATTTGAGTCTGGTTGTTCACTGTCACTTTTTGGCTAAATAAGAACATTTTCCAATGTTCTCCGTGGATGCTCCATATGAAACTCTTAATGTTTCTGCAATTCAACCTCTCTCATTCTACATGACTAGGCATGTCTATCCTGCTTTCCTGCATTATCTTCATATGATACTCTCCTATTATTTGTTGCTAGGTTCTCCATGTTATTCACAGAGATGGGTGTCAACCCAAATTACAGAGACTAACACTAGTTGGATTGCTCCTGGAACTTCAAATTTTCCCCCCAAATGGACCAAATTAGAGAACTCCCACCTCTCTTTCAACTGAAATTAGACTAAGAGCACAAAAAAGTGGTGCACAATTTGGCATTTTTGAGCGGCCAGCATTGAGAAATATTATTCTTAAACTTGCATTACAAGCGAGGTAACACGACCCACAAAAGATTTTTATTAAACAGAATAAGAATGACTGAACAAACAGATAAGCGAAGAAAAATAAACTTAACTTTGCTAGGGATTGTGGTTCCGAGGGCAGAAGGAGAGAGGGGGAGGGCATGAATGTCCAACACCATACCACCGATTATCACACCTTCTCTACCATCTCTAAGGCTTAATTGCTCAGCTCTCACTACATTCTTCATCATCAACACCAGAAACAAAAAATTCACGATATCACTGAGCGCCAATTACATCGAACATTTTCCGTAAACAGAAACAAAAGCAGAAATGCAGAGAGAGAGAGAGAGAGAGAGAGAGAGAGAGAGAGCATTCTAAATGGGTGAAGAAGGGAGCTCGCATCAGAAGCTTGTGGTGAAAGATGACGATACAGAGACTGAATCCTCCTCTAAGCTCTGCTTTCCACAACCATCTCTCCCTTGCTCTGTTGCTTAGAACTCGGTACTCACTGTCTCTAGCTTGTCTCATGTGAAGAAGAAGAGATAGAGACAGAGACGGAAAGTGTAGGGTGACCTTTGACGTTAAAAATGTGGCAGTTTTATTGTTAATAACTAAAACTGTAATAGAAATCAGGTACCTTCAAATTTATATAATTAAATAGAAAAGTAAAATTGAACTTATTTTCTCAAATACAACGTAAGATCGGTGAAAGGTAAATAAGATGCAGAGGTAAATAAGATGCAGAACGGAGTTATAATCGACCTGTGCAAGTGGCCAGGGCCTAGAATAGCTTGCACGTCAATAGTACGATTGTCAAAACAGAACCAAAAAACCAAACCGAGATATGAACCGAATTTTCGGTTCGATTCGGTTCGGTTTTCGATTCGGATAATCAAAACTAATCATTATTTTTTTTTCAATTCGGTTTATTTCAGTTCGGTTCAATTTGGATCGACAACAGCGAAGATCGAAGAAAGTAACTCGTGAGAAAAGGATATGAGAGAGAGGGAAAGATGAAGGAATCCCCGGTGGAGGCTAAGGGGGAGCTTGGTGCCTGGGACGGCGAAGTGGCGGAGATCGGAGGGGTAGCTATAGGTAGGGGTGTCAGAATCGAACCGAAAAATCGAACCGAGATACGAACCGAACTGAACCGAAAATTTCATGCATTTTGGTTTGGATAATCAAAATTAACTATTTTTTTTTCAATTCGGTTTATTTCAGTTCGGTTCGGATCAATTCGGATCGAACCGAACTGAAATAGACACTTCGGTTTTAGCCCTAAAAAGCCCTATCTCGCCCAGTCGCCCTCTCTCGCGCTCGCATCTCCCTCTCTCCCTCTCCCTCTCCTCCTCGCCGCTTCGCCTCCGAAATTTGTGACTCCCCCCTCCGGCTCCGGCCCCGCTGCTGCCGCTGCCTCCGACGGCCGCAGCTCCCGCCGGGACCACGGGCCCGAGCCGGGCATTTTCCTCCGCCGGTCCGCTCGACCGAGCCCTACCGAGATGAGATCGCGACCGAGCCTCACCACCGCGACTCTTACTCCGTCGCGGCGCTTTCATTCCTCCGGGGTTACCGAGGTGTCGTCGGCTTGCCGCCGAGTCTTTGACGACCGGACGGAGCTCCCTGTCACTGGTGCCCCATCTCGTGCCGGTTGCTTCCTTTTCCATTCCTCGGTTCCCCGTCGGCGGCGGCGGCTCTTGGTGCAAGGGCACCGGCGGTATCATCCCCATCACCGAAGCTGCAAAAGTACAGAGCCCCGACATCGACCACCTCCGCATCTCCAACTCCCTCTGCTCCGACCCTTCCAAGCGAGTAAGCCCTTCTATCACCCCCTCCTTCTTGATACGTTCTCGCTGATGTAGAGCCGTTCGATCGTCTCCGATATGGTTGTATACTCTGAGGTGTAGGGGTGCTTCTCAATGGAGTGAGGCGAAATGCTACTTTGTCGAGTGTCAAGTAAGCGAGATAATTTGACAGTTGAGTCTGAGATAGGTAGGGTTCGACTGTGCGTCTTGATTGTCAAATTTGAAATTTTTTTTAGTGTAATGACGAAATTCTTTGCTTGCATGTCTTCTCAAGTTAGCAGAAAATTGAGACGCTGGTTTTTTGGTTTTGATCCCATTTCCCGTGTTGTTTGATTAACTAATTTCCACTAAGAGGTGCCTTTGCTTATATAGCCTCCTTGTCTTTGGTGCTGTTTACATTTACCACCATCTCTCTTGTTACTTTACGCTGTGTTATACCCTTTTCTCATACTGTTTTGGGGAGGGTTCATCTTGTAATTTTTGTGGAGTCACTTTGCTGTTCAAGAACTTCAAGTCGATCTGCATTGTACTTTAAGTATTTCAAGTTGTGTTGAAAGCGTTGTCTCTTGAGCATTTGTGCTTTAGTCTTGAGAGACCATCAGAAATTGACAGCTCTCTTTGGAAGTAGAAATGCGTCATTACTTAATTTTTTTTTCTTTGAAATGATACTGATTCATATCTCGTGGCATGTGGTAGCTTCTTTCGCTCTTTCAGTTGGCATTTTCTATTACTTCTAATTTTCATATACTTATTTAATAGCGAATTGTTGTTTCGCTGAATTGAAAAGTGATCTGACTGCAGGTATTGGCGTACTTTTGGTCCTGTACTTTTGCAATCCTGGTTCGACAAAGCTCCGATTTTGTTGCACGATTCCAAAGCTGATTCGCGGCCGTGACAAACCCAGAGAGGCCCAGGACCAGCTTCTCGCCCATCGGTGAGTTCTCAGTTGTCTTCTCTCGGTCAAGTCTTTGATTGGTTTCGCTTCAGCAGTTTTGTCTTCGTGTACATCTCGGCTTTGTATACTCTTCAATAGTACCATTCCGTGTGTGAGGGCGTTTGTTGTTCTGCCCTGTTTTCTTGATCTTCGGTGATGGTTCTTGTGTCCGCTTGGTGGGGGTTTTTGTGGTTTAGAGATTGCGAGTCGGATTGTGAATTTTTTTTTCGAGGACAATGGTTTCGTCTGTGTCTTGCTTCTTGTTATATGGGTGGCCAATAGTTTTCATTTGTTTTAATTGTTCCTCTGTTTTGGAGCTGGATTTTATGTTAACTTGTTCTGATTTAGGCGAAGTGAGGTGTATGCAATCTCTATTACCTTGTGTTTCAAAGATTGCTAACAGCAATGGATTCAAATACTTTTTTGGGGAAAGAATTACCTTCAGAATTTGAATTTCGAATTCTACATCATGTATCTTCCCACTTCTTTGAATCAGCAAAGCATGAGTATATGGCTTATGTCATCTGATTTTCTATTAAGAATCCATGGAAAAGTTTAATTTCTGTTTCCTAACGAAAACATCTTTTATGTCCTTCAATGAAAGGATATATATGGGAGTTTCATGTCTAGGCTGCTGAAATCCACTCCTTAATGGGATTGATCATGGATGTTATAAGGTATTTGTGACCAAGTGGGAAAGCAATTCCATCAAACTTGCTTAATAGAGGTGTTCTTGCATGCGCAATCTGTTTTTGCAAGTAATTCCGTCACTTTCATAATTCATCATGTTCGTTTGGTATTTCTCTTTTCTCATCATGACTCTATCCTTGTGTTTGTTTGTTCTGTTGAACTAGTTTGCTTTGCGTTCATTTATCATAACTATTTAGTAACTTCTGTCCTGGTGCTTTAATGGCTACCCCTTCTATTATGCTTTTATTTGGATTAAGTATTTGCTTTTGATACAAAGTTTGTTAACTTGACACAGCCACTTGAATTATAATAATTTTAGGTTTTAATTGTCATAGATTGGTAGATGTCTACTTCAATGAGTGAATCTAGTGGCACAAATAGAAGGAGGATGAGATCTATTGCTTGGGAACACTATAAAAGGACAGAAAATCTAGACAAAGCTGAATGTTTATATTGTGGGGCTATTATTGGTTGTTCTACCTCTCGAGGGACTAGTGCGATGCGTAATCATTTAGGTAGATGTAAGGAATTTCCATATGCGAACGTTGAGAAAAGGCAAAAAAGTGTCTCGGGTCAACTTGTTGGGGTTGGTAGTTCTAGGTCATTTGGTCCATGGAAATTTGACCAAGAAACTAGTCGAAAAGACCTAGTAGCGATGTTCATCATTGGTGAATTACCCTTTAAGTTTGTGGAAAATGAGTCATTTCGGCAATTCGTGAGTAGGATCCAGCCGAAGTTTTCAATCCCCTCAAGAAACACATTGAGGGAGGACTGTTATAGGTTATACTTGGAGGAAAGATGCAAATTGAAAAAATATTTTTTCGATACATCTCCAAGGGTTTGTCTCACAGTGGACACGTGGACTTCTTGTCAAAATATGAGTTACATGTGTCTCACTGCTCATTTTGTAGATGGTGATTGGAAGTTGCAAAAGAAAATCTTGAATTTTTGTCAAATCCCGGGACATTCTGCTGAGATTATAGGAAAAGCGGTGAAAAAATACTTGATTGGTTGGGGGATTAAAAACATTTTTTCTATCATCGTGGATAATGCGAGCTCAAATGACTTGGGAGTTCAATACTTGAAAAAAAGACTCCACTTTTGGAACACTCTAATTTTATCGGGTGAGTTACTCCATGTAAGATGTTGTGCTCACATATTGAGTTTGATTGTGAGAGAGGGTTTGAAAGATATAGATGATTCCATTGTTAGAATACGCTCAGCTGTACGCTATGTGAGGTCTTCTCCTGTGAGGTTGCAACGGTTTAAGGAGTGCATTGAGCTAGAAAATATCGAGTCCAAGAGTCTTGTATGTTTGGATGTGGAGACTCATTGGAACTCAACGTACCTGATGTTGGAAGTGGCTTTGAAGTTTCAAAAGGCTTTTATCTTACTAGATATTCGGGATAGCAAATTTGTTGAAGAGCTTTCCAAGGTAAGGGGGTTGCCTACTAGTGATGATTGGGAATATGCCCGTCAATTTCTTCCTTTCTTGAAGTTGTTTTACGATACAACTTTAAAGGTACCGGGTTGTTCTTATGTCACTAGTAATGATATGGCGAAAGATGTCTATGGGATTTTTATGATGATTGATAGATATTGTGTGAATGAGGATAGGAGTTTGCAGGAAATGGCCAAGAGAATGAAGACCAAATTCAATAAGTATTTTGGCAATGTGAATAACATCAATCTAACATGGTTCATTGGATGCATACTTGACCCTTGACATAAGTGGGAGTATGTGAAATGGATGATTAATCAAGTTTATGAAAGCAAGCGGGCGGAAACTTTATGAGATAAAGTAACATCATCTCTAACGTCATTGTTCGAGCAATACCGCATCGGTATATGCCCCCAAAGCAATTTGAGGTCAAAGGGTACAAGGACAATGAATGTGTCAATGTCTCCTGTGGTTGGTGCGGACATTATGACTGTAATGTATCTTAGCCAAACGGGACAAGAATATTTGGAAGAAAAATCCGAATTAGATAAGTATTTGGAAGAAAGATGTGAATGCTATAGTGCCGACTTTGATATCTTAAATTGGTAGAAAGTCAATTCTTCGAGATATCTTATCCTCTCTTCCATTGCTTGAGATATTTAGACTTATCCGAATTAGATAAGTACTTGACGTGTTTCGTAGCTCCTTGACCCCAAGCATGGTGGAGGCTCTTATATGTGCTCAAGATTGGCTACGATCCGCACCACTTTCACTTTCGATTGAGGAGGACTTAGAAGAACTCGAAAATTTTGAGTCAGGTGAGAAAAAATTATCATGAAATATTTTATATCCTTTACTATTGCAATAGATACTTTAATTCTCATTTTTATTGTGAATTTAATGTAGAGTTATCAACTGTGACCGCGGAGCTGAACTCGATATTGGTTTCCCTTGATGATTGACGAACAAAAGAGAAGTAGTCATCTCCTTGATGTGTAAAGAAAGCAAGTGAGCACCGGAGATTCTGTATTCTTTTTTGTAGATAGTCCATTATATGATTTCGGTGCTGATTTGTCATCTGTTCTGATACGGAAGTACCTCATTGGCAGGGCAATGGATTTTGATTTTTGTTTGGTATTGTTCTAAGTGACCTCAAAGATGATCCAATCACAACTATTTATGAATACCCACCACTTTACTTATTCCCAGAAACTAGATGTTTTAACCTTTGTTTGCTGTCACCGTTCCACTCTAATGTTCATGGTGGATGCTCGTCATTTTGGTCGCGTTTCTTGTTAAGTATGCATCGGCTTCTTTGGACGATTGTACTGGATGCATTGTGTTGGGGATCATGTCTTCTCGGATCTCCTGGAGAGAGATTGATCACAAGTCAGCCATGTTTTTTTCTAATGCAAAAGATTCGATATTGACTTCTTAAGAAATGTAGAGTGACATTGAAGCTTTACTTTACCATCGGCAAAAGAACACTACAAGTGCCATAACTTGTGTACGGCGCTCACTTTGGTGCCATAAGTTTTTTTGGATCACTTTAGTGCTAAAATTTTGAAAAACGATCACTTAAGTGCTAAAATTTTTGAAAAACGATCACTTAAGTGCCAACTCCGGTGCCGTACATAATTTTTCGCGGAAATCCGACGTGGCATTTTTTAATTAATTTGGTGCGACGTGGCTCGCCGTAGGCTCGCGCTGGAGATTGGCACTTAAGTGATCGTTTTTCAAAAATTTTAGCACTTAAATGATCGTTTTAAAAAAATTTAGCACTTAAGTGATCGTTTTTCAAAAATTTTAGTACCGAAGTGATCCAAAAAACTTATGACACTTAAGTGACCGTTTTTCCTCCGACTTGGCACCAAAGTGATCCGAAAAAGTTATGGCACCAAAGTGATCTCCGTACATAAGTTATGGCACTTATAGTGTCCTTTGTCCTTTACCATCTAGCCGCTGCTAGTTATTCAATTTTTATGCTCCAAGGCCTTCGGTTGGAGTTTATCAATATGCCTGGATCGCAATATATCTTCGGCTGATTGATGAGATTTGGCCTCTATTTTATGCAGTGCTGGTATTACTATAAGATCGTAGCCAATCTTGAGCACGACTTTTTTTTTTGGTCGGAACCTAGTTTAAATATGTGATTTTGTTTTTTCATTTTTCAATTTTAAATAATGAGTTTTTAATTTGTAATATATTTACAATCACTCAACTTATTTTAATTTGTAAGATCGATGATTCTCTTACGTAGAATATCATGAATATGTTCACATTTTGACATTAAAGAATCAAATCTAGGAAATAAATGTCGTTAAATATTAAAAAGAATTATTTAACTTTCATCTTATTCGAAATGGCGATTCAGCAATACGTAATCGAAATTATAAATAGTTGAATAGCGTAAATGACTAAAATATTTTTATAGGAATAAAAAGCAAAAAAGAAGAAGAAAAAACAGAAAATCGAGCCATGAATAAAAAGCAAAAAAAGAAAAAGAAAAAGAAGAAGAAGAAACCGAAAACTGATCCGAACCAAACCGAACCAAATCGGTTTTTCAGTTCGGTTCCAATTCGGTTTGAGCGAGTTTCAGTTCGGTTCAAGGGTGCTTCCTTAACAATTCGGTTCCAATTCGGTTTGAGCAAGTTTCAGTTCGGTTCAAGGGTGCTTCCTTAACAATTCGGTTCAGTTCAGTTTTTCAAGAAAATCAAACCGAACTGAACCGTTTACAACCCCTAGCTGTAGGAGAGGTTGGTGAGGGCAAGATCGGCACGGGCAGGAGTGTTGGTGACGATCATGGTGGACGGCGATGAGGACTTGAAGAACCGATATGCCATGGCTGTGATCGGCCAGCTCCTGCATCGCTGCTTCAAAAAAATTCCAGATCTGGCTGCAACACAGCTACGACCCCATAAAACCGCTTCGCTCAATTTCACTCAAATCCACAAATTCTCAAACTCTGTAGATTTTCACAGCCAGCCCAACAGAAGCTAGGGGCTCAGAAATGAGGAATCAACAGCGCGAGAAGTCGACATCTTCGATCAAACGAAAAACAGACAAAGAACTCAACGAATATAAGTCAAAAACATTATCTGAGACCGAGATCGAGAGGCTGCGAAGACCCCCAGAAAGATCAGGCACTGGCTAGAATCTTCCGGCGAACGCTAGGGGGAAGAAGATGGAAGAAGCAAAGCACTTTTTTTTTCCTGTTTTTACTTTGCCAGAAAATTAAAAAATGAAAGGCATGAAAAAGAAGAGACCTTGTTTGAATAAAAAGCAAAAAAACAAAAAAATCGATTTTTCAGTTCGGTTCATATTCAGTTTGAGCGAGATTCAATTCTATTTTTCAAAAAAACCGAATTGAACCAAACCGTTTACACCCCTAGGAGGTAGTGGGATGCAATGGGTGAACTCTAGTTCCTAAATTGAAAATCCTCCGACGTCCCAATCAATGGTGGTTATCCACTTTTAAGATGCTAATTGCTTGGACATGAAAGTCAAGAGAGAATGATCAAGGACGGCTAATTTCTTTCTGCTTCCGTGTTCTCTAAAACCATAAACGATGGCATTGAGGTTAACTCGTCTGTTGAAAATGGTGGAGGTAATGTTCTTTTTTATTAGGGGTATGCAAAGCAGACTGCCCAAATCGAGAACAGCCTAAACTGGACCGAACCGATCGGTTGGTCCAATTCCCGGTTCCTAAAAGTGGAACTAGTGTCCAGGCGATCCAGTTCCCAATTCCAAGAGAGAATCAGACTAAACCGGACCGACCGGACCGAACAGACTACATATACTTTTTTTTCTTCAAAAAAATTAGTAAAATGTGAATTAAACCCTAAGTGACCGGTTTCATTGGACCGGTCCTCCGGATCTAATTCCCGGTTCCACCTTTGAATAAGACCGGACCAGGAACCGATCAGCCCTATTTTTGACTGCATAGCTTTCTCGTTCTCTCACATATGATCTGAGCCATTTCACATTGATTTCATCTTTCACTTGATCCAAGATTACTAGGATGATATTTATTTACTACTCATGACTATGTTCTAGTTATACATGTAGTAGTGTATCACGATAACCAACAAAAATGACCGAAGGAGGGAACCATCTCCATGACCAAATGTAATGAAAAGGTTATTCTGCGTGGCAACATTGGAGCTGCTGCCCAGACATATGACATTGAACGATGATCCTTTCAATCACTTATATGTATAGTTAATTTTTCAAAAGATTATAATTTTCAGATGACACGTGATTTTGCTCATGGGTTTTTCCATTTTTACATGATTTTGCTCTCTCCCTTTATCAAATCATTTTTTCTCCATGTGAAATGTCTAGCACTCGTCCCTTTTTATCAACCTCTACTTCATGGTCTGAAATTCAGTGTCTTCAGTGGGCAAAACACCACCACACCAGACGATCCACCATCACGCACAGCCGCACACATCATCGTCAACCTGTCAAGCCGCCGCCACTGCTCGGCGGAGTTCACATCTCGCCATAAATGCCCTCTTGCTGGAGGAGCTACAGAGTCTCCTTAATAACTTTGAACTGCTAAAGCAAAAACCACAGGTATTGGGAAAAAGAGAGAAATAGGAAAACTATTTAAACCAAGGAAAAAGCATGTTGGTTCATAAACATAACCTTTCCTTTTGATAAGATATAACATGCTAAATTCTAATTTAGGAAAATACAAGATGCACAGCATAATTACCTATAAGGTGTAAGGAGTAATCTCTCTAGGAAAAATAAAAGGAGGTATAATACAATTCAACATATTCTATCTCTAACACAATCCAGTTAACACAAAAGGAAAATCAGTTGCCAATGTTTTATACTGGCAAGGATCCGATAACTAAAGTGGCAATCCGCATTATATCTAGGCTTTTATAATATGATAAATACGGAAATATCATAATGTCTGTCTCATAAAGTAATTTGCATTACAAATCTCTGTACAAATGTGATTTGGAACGGCCTGATTGACGGCTCATCTCTAAACCTAGCTTCTTGGTATCTTCCGAGAATAGGAAATGCTAATCTGGCATGAGCATTCTCGGTAATTGCATGAGCATTCTCGGTAACTATGCCCAAGATTTAGCTTCTTTCGCACGCAATCTATATGGTTGGGATCAAGTTCATCCTCAAATCTTCAAATCTATAAAACTCACATGAGAGGTTGCTTCATCTCCATAACATTCAACAAGCTATCTTGCCCTCTGCCTCTCTCTCTCTTTTCCAACTTCTGTCTCCCGTAGCAGTCAATTGCAAGAAGCAGCTCATCCAGGTAAGGAAAAATCCAACTTATATTCAATGGTGCAAAAAGAGTTAGCAATCTTGCTTGTTGGATTGTATTCCTATTATGATTTTAGATCTTGTACAGATTGTGGTATCTTAACTTTCTGTTGATTATCACGCAGGCTAGGTATATGAGAAGGCCCTCATGATTTCAAAAAATTCATGACCACACTTGATTATCACTTAAACCCTAACTCATAGAACTCCCTTGTTGTGGTTAATAATGTATGTATTAGCCCATTTCGATAGGATGACTCTTGGAGAGACCCTAGAAATGATTTCTTTTGGGAAATCTTCATGATCTAAGCACTAGAAAATCGCCTGATACATAGGCAAGAGGCGGACCCTTCTGCTCGGCTGCCCATTGTTATGTGTGACCCGAAGATAATGAACATTCATATTGAACATCGTATAGATTTCATTCAATTCGTTTTTCCATCTGAGTTTACGTTTAGCCGGCTTGGTTACCGGAGTATGGTGGTCGGTGGATGCGCATGTCACTTCGCCAAGTGAGAATTGAATTGTTCTTGGGGTTGGATGAACATTCCAAATGGTAATTTTGTGAGAAGCGGTGGTCTTCTTAATTACATGATGATAATAACTCTAGAGATTTTTTGTATGACATTTTCCTCAATTATGAAGACTAGTTTCACCTCTTTAAGCAGTCATGCCTTGTGTGCAAGTTCCCACCTTTTTGTTAAAGTGCTATCCGATCCAAAAAATTGGATACAAAAATATATTTTTCCGTATTTATAATAGGGAAAAAGAAAAGGTGTACTAAATCTCTTAAGTCATCTTATATTTTATATTGTTTGGATTTCTCAATCGATGAACTCTTTTTTTCATTGAACTTCGAAAAATTCCGTTATGATTTTTCTCTTTTTCTCAAACCGATCAACATAAAACTTTTAATTTTTCAGTGGACCCTTTATTTATTACCGCTAAGTAATTGCTCTTAAACAAAAAAAAAATTTGTGAATTCCACGTCCTTTTTGCTACTTAAGTATAGGACATGGATATTGGTAATCTTATTACTCAAGTCATTTAGTGAATATATGTGCTTTTTTGCTTATTAAACCAATAGTAACCCCAGTATTAAATCAGACTCGTATGATATTTTCTTGTATAAAATGTGTCTCTTATCCATGTGAGAATGGATTGAATCTCATCAAAATTATCTAATTCTTGTCCTTCACACCACATGTGACACATAAACCATGCATTGTGATTGGCAACGTTCGTCAACCTCGAAAGACTCGGTTCTCGAATTAGAGTTTCATGTTCTGGTTTTGAGTCTCTATATGATTGCTTGTTTTGGGCCTGTAGTGGTTATTTCATTCCTATTCTATTTAACATGGTCTCGTATCATTGCTTTTGTATTAGTTTAACTTTTGGGACATGCGACGACCATCTTCTGACATAATTCGGATTTCTTTCCCATACTCTTCCTTTCAATTTCCTTTTTGCATGCTCTGAAGTTCTCTTAGGGACATAAACATCTGTGACCGCTTCATTTTTTTTTCCTTTTAGCGTACTCGCGCTCTCTTTTCTTAACCTCATGATCTCACCTGAAGGTCAATGACAAACTCCAACACCAGAAGAAACCCTCCAGCGGTTCCCTCATCAACAGGCGCCAATTCAATACCCAAAGTCCAGTACCCAAAGGAACTCATCAGCTCGTACGGCGCAGCGTGCGAGTCCAACCCGGATTTGCGAACCTTCGATGCTAACCTCCAAGTGAGGACGAACCAAGTCCTCAGCACTCTTGCTTCCGGGGTTGATGTCCAAGCTCTCTCACTGGATTCTCTGAAAGAGATAACGGAGTGCCTCTTGGAGATGAACCAGGAAGTGGTCAAGGTCATCTTGGATAGCAAGAAAGACATCTGGAGAAATCAAGAGCTGTTCGAGCTTGTTGAGTGCTACTTCAAGGATAGCTTGCACACCCTCGGTTTCTGTGCTGCCCTTGAGAATTGCTTGAAGCCTGCGCTCGATGCCCATTTGCTGTTTATCGCTTCGCTTCATTGCTTCAAAGAAGAAGATGGGGAGGGGTGTTGCAGGTACATGTATCTCACTTCTCAAGGAACTTCATTTCGAGCACACGCATCCTAGCATATTGGTTCTTGCTGGCCACTATTTTCATTTATTGGCTAAGTCATTCAATCTCCACTAATTTCTCTATGCATTTGCATTCAACTTCATATCTAACGTGCCAATGGGATAGAGTTGATTTCTAGAGTTTGATAGCCTAACATTATAAGGTTTAAGTTGGTGAGGAATATGCATGCATTTTCTGTTTCACGAGGAACTGATGCAGAGACCTTGGATAAATTTAGTTACTCAAAGATCTTGGAGGAACTGACAAAATTCAAGGAGACCAGAGACCCTTTCCCCAAAGAGTTCTTCGTGATCTTTCAGACGATTCACAAGCAACAGAAGTCCATGGTCAAGAAGTTGCGGATCAAGAAAAATGAGATTGAGAAGAAGCTCAAGACCATACAGACGTGGAAGAAAATCTCAACCATGATACTGGTTGCAATTTTCGCAGCCATTCTGATCTGGTCGGTCATGACTCCAGCTGTGGCTGCTACACCAGTCACTGCCGCCCTAGCGGCTGCAACCGCCATTCCCATGGATGCCATTGGCAAGTGGATTGACTCCCTTTGGAAGATTTATGAAAATGAACTGAAGGGATGGGAGGAGGTGATCACCTCAATGCAAGTGAGTACTACAAACCTTTTTCCTCCCTTTCTGTAATTACAGTGACGATCCCCGTAATTTCGTCAAACCAAGTCAACATCCATACTTTTCCCTAGAAGTCCTCGCAATTAACATAATGAACATCGCGAGGCTGGCTTGATTTTTATGTAGCTATAATGATGCGAACAATGTCTATGATTCCAAAATGCAAGAAACTCTGCAAGAGAAGTCATCATGATTTACATGAATAATTTCTTACAACTAAAGCTCTGCAGACCGGTACCTTTGTTGCTCTCAAGCTCCTTAACAAAATCAGAAGCATCGTTGACCCTTTGGAGGTACAGACCAAGAGGCTTTTGCAGAAAGCTGATTTTCCGATTGAGGAGGGAGCAGAAGCAGTAAAGCTCGGAATAGCAGACATCAAGAAAAAGCTGAGAGATTTCGTGAAGGCGGTTGAAGGACTGGGAAAACATGTCGACATGTGCAACCACAATATCCAGAAATCAAGGATAGAGGTGCTTCAGAGGATTATAAAGCCCCCCACCAATTGCAACGGTGCCCCTATATTGCTATAGAGAATTGTTGCTGAGTGTTTGTCTTCCTGTGAGGGATGTGCAGTGGACCTCCATTTGCATTGCCTTCTCTCATCAATAAAGTGGAAGACATCAACATTTGGCATTCGATTTGTTGAATAATTATAATTAAATGCAGCTTTTCGACATAAAGGCCTTATCAGCTTTGGACAGGAACTCTTCAATCCCTAATTGAATAAGCCCTTGTTTTAGTTGCTCTTATGTACAGTTCCATATGGTGATTAAACAAGTTCAGACGACTGACACAAAATTGACCTGTAATATGGACATAGTAAGGTTCAGGTTCTTCCCAAAAGCAGAAGTTAGTAGCTAGGACAGAATAGTTAAATTTTTGCTGAATTGTGTTTAGAGCTCATTATGCTCGTGAGAAATGTCTGTACCAGTCTGGCAAAAGATGAAAGCTGCAAATGAAAGACCAGACAGCAGTAGCTCAGCAAAACAAGAATATCTATAGAACGAAAACGTATCCTGCCAATGTTCCTCATTCGTAAAAGATTTCTCCTCAATAGAACTATTTGGTAAATCCAGACATCTAAAGACAAATTTCATGTTGACAAGAATTAATGGAGGAAGAAATTGCAGATGCTGAATTATTCCTGATCAATGCTTGGCAAAATAAACAGAGTGATTGCCTCTAATGCAAATCTTATTGTGTTGAGAGTACGTTCCAAGTTGCTTTCCAAGCAACAAAAAATAAACACATAAATAGTCGGTGCTTTCACTGTCCAACTCTCCAAGGAAACTCCTCTCTGGCTTCATCAAATTTCTATACTAACAAACTGCAATGAAATTTTACAGAAGAAGTTCCATGTTCACAACTATGCCAACGCAAAGAATCAGCAGAATTGAGAGAAATCTTTGAATTATACAGCAAATCAGAAAACACTAGCAAAAGTTTTGAGTTCCAGGTCATGGGCTCGTCTCGAAAATTCAACTTCCAAAGTGATTCTCCTATCAATGGACCGGTAATTCAAACACAAGGACCTCCTTGTTCCCAGGAACAGTAAAAGGTCCGGGAAACGATCTCTGAGAGGTGGATACCTACACCAAGTGTCAAACCGAAACCGTGTCCATTTTCCCTTTCCCACTTTTGGAGATGTTTGAAGAAGAAACTCACTTCACTTGTCTCTAATCCACCTTGAGACACTGATACCGTGAGTTGCTCTTCTATTTCTAGAAATTCAACCTATTTCTCCAAAGCAACCCGTTATTTGTCGCTAATACAGATGTCTTTTTCCGTGGGAACTTCTTGAATTCTATCCCCAACTTTATGGAATTTCTGGGGATAAGTCCAATGTAGTCTTGTTTAATTTTTTACTTGCTTATAGATTCGGACTATTTTTAATAGAGAATATGGATATGAATTTCAAAGATGAGGATATGTGATCATAAAAGCAGGATATTTGTTAGGTAACCATGCGGAGATTTTGAAATTTAGTCATTAATATAATATAATGTTTTACATATCCTATATTGAAATGAGATAATGTTGTTTTACTTATTCTAAAAAACTGGGTAATAAAGGAAAAAAATCCATATAACCATGAAAAATCTGTTGTACTAAAGAAATCCACCGGGTTTACCAGCATTTAATTGCCACAATCAGTGAGAAGACAACCAAGTTTTCTCTTTCCATCTGAGTTATTCAGCAGGGAAAGATTACTGTTCTTGCCTATAGTTAACCAGTATCCACCTTGTTAATACCACAGTCTACAAGATATTGCATGTTCAAATCTTGAGTGGAAGTTGAAGTCATGGATCTAACTCCTTTTTCTTCAGCCTAAATGTATGATTGTTTCGGAAATGCTGTCTGATGGAAGATACCATTGAAATTATGTAACCTGTACGGCTTGTCATCTTTGAACTTCCATAATCTTTTGATGGATTTAACAGGTAAGAGCGATTTAGTTCTTCTTTAAAGAATATCGTAAAGAACATAAATTGGAATTTCCATCGAAACATGCAGAGGTAGTGGTTGTTGACAGCTTTGAGGGTGCGTAAAACATGCCAATTACGCGGTGAAAATGAAATTCATTTCTTGCTAAGCCTTGTGATTGGACATTGAACCCCAGTTATCTTGGTTCATCTGTCGACTCCCTGATTATATTGTTCTTGTTCTCTGCTTCGCAATCCACAAGACTAGGACAGCTTTATGAAGCCACTGCCTTTAAAGTGAAACTGAATAGGCAGCATTCGCCTGATTTACTGGGTCAATAGCACTGAGCTCAAGGACAAATGAATAGTCTTTTGCTTGCAAATCCATGGGCAGGATATGTGATGGTAGAACACACTAATTTGGATTCATGGATTGTCAGTACAAAGCTCACAACATTTGCCTCCAGACATGTTTTTCTGTAAATATCCCATGGACAAACAATGCATGTGAAGATACACTGCAAAAAAATAATTTGTACAACTGAACTGTTAATTCTCACCAAAAATCCCTGCAAGAGCACCCACCAGCTATGAAATGGTGAAGCCTGTTATTGTCCCCCACGACAATTTCCCTATCAAAAGTTTGAGAAACCATTTTCGAAAACTCATGACAATCCCAGCAGATCCTAAGGTTTTTAACAATTCTTATAGGAACGTCTTCCTTCAATCAGATCAAACCAAATGCAGCGGCAATCTCCTCACTGTTTAGAGACAGAGCATTCTCTTTCTCTTCTTCTTCTATATCGAACAAAACCGGGTTCGTGTTAGCCATGTACCCTTATAATCTCAGCCCCCTGAAGATCTCGCCCACCATCACTTAAATTTCGCTATACATTTGGTGGGAGTTATCTCCAACAAAAAAACTCATGAACTTCACCATCAACTTCTACAACACTGCAGCCTGGAAGCTTCTTCTCGCCTCTGAACTTCATTACCTACCGCATAAGGCTTACACTTTCCCAGTTTTTGTTATCAGTGTAAATATTGGACCAAAGCATGTAAACACCATGACTCTTTGCTTCGAGCTCCACCGTCTTTCTTGAGGCAAGCTCGCCTATTTCCCTATTCTTGTGAATTTTACATGCATTTTGTAAAGCTCCCCAAGCACCGGCATGAGGCTCCACCAGCATGTCATTGATGAAATTTAACACTTCATTTAAACGGTCAGCTTGGCCATACAAATCAACCATGTAGATATAATGCTCAAGTTCAGGCTGGATTCCATACGACTCAGTCATTGAGGCAAGCCCTTTCTCGACTAGTTAAACTACACTGCAGCCTCTCAATACCGATACAAATGTGACTTCATTTGGGAGATCCCTGTCTTTCTTCATGGGCGAGAAAAGCTCGAGACATTCCCTACCAGCTCCATTTATGTCTAGTCCATTCATGGCACTAGGCCATGTGTACGTGTTCCTTTCCTTCATCCCCCAGAAAACCTCCATGGCCTTATCCATGTCACCGCATTTGGCATACAAATCAATAAAGCGGTCCCTAGCATCAACATCATCCGAAGGCTGTTCCTTTCAATATATGCATGAGACCACCTCCCTTGATCCAGTGCACCTAATTGAGTGCATACAGATAGAACTGGAACCATAGAAGGCTCATTGACCTTCACACCTTCCAGTTGCATCTCATGGAACAAATTCAAGGCACACCTCGACTCCCTAAAAAACATCCACGCATTTTGTCAACATTGCCATACTTGGCGCAAAAGTGCTCGCTCAGCATCAGCGTTTGACACACCACGTCATGATCAAGAATCCCTCCAAACACTCTATGACACGATTCTAAACTACCCATCTCCACATACATTAATCAACGCAGTCTGAACATGCGGGTCAATTTCAAACCCGTGTCTTGATGGTTGGATAAAAAACTTGATGCTGGTTTGATTATTGCTTTGCTGTGCGTCTAAACTTAATATTCCAATTTGGTTTTTTGTCACCCAAAACCTACCACAAAATTAAGGAGGAACGTCAGTGAAAATTAAAAAAACTGGATGAAGTTTCCATTAAATTTGTCTTCTTTAATTTCCTGCTTCTAGCCAATAACCAATGATAATAATATTAGGATTCGAAATGTCAATTATGCATGCCTTTCGTATCTTTTATTCGTTTCCTGTTTCTTTTCCTGAAATATTACCTTTGTATGGAAACTTTTACCATTGTATGGGAACTCAACTTAGAGATCACTTGTGTATCTTTGGTAAACCAATAACATCTTCCTTAGTTGCATTCCCTTGTCTTCATTAGGCTTCTCCTCTTTAGTGCTATTTCTATATGTATGCTTAATTCTTTCAATCAACAATTTATGATTATCTGAGTTCTTTTTATCCTATTTGCATTCCTTAAACAGCAGTCATGAAGTCCTTTGATGGAGCTTTAGACTTGTGGGAGCAACAAAACTGGAAAACCCAATCTCTCAATCGATCTTGCGGTCCATTTTCAAACTGAGATCATCAATTCCGACGCAATCCAAGTGTACAAGGGGCTCAATGTTGTCACCAACAAGGTTACCGAGCTCGAGCGTCAATCGAGCGTCAAGGAGTGCCACAGGACCTCCTAGGAGTGATCGATGTCCTAATGTTGACTTTCGACGCATCACGTTTGTAGTCATGCGATGATCGCCTTCAAGCAAATAACGGACTGCGCGTGCGCTGCAATCATTGGTGGAGGATCGAACTCCTTTATTGAGGCGCTCGTGGAGGGCCCAACATCTAATTTCAGGTCCATTTATGATTGTTGTTTCCTTTGGTTGGATGTGTCGCTCCCTATCTTGAATGAGTGCATGTCGAAATGGGTGGACGAGATGGTTGATGCAGACCTAATAGATGGGTGCCAGGTATGTTGCCTCGCAAATTGACTGCTCAGGTGGCATTCGCCGTGCGATTGGGGTCCCAGAAATGGACCATTACCTGCGATTCGAGAATTGTATGATTGATGACGAGAAACCAAATGAGGGTTTGCTCGATGTCGCCATCAACAAGATCAAGGTAACTTGCAGGTTAGCTTTTTGCCAAGCGGAGAAGATCTGGAGGCTTA